TGTGGTGATAATAGCAGATTAACAAATATAGAAAGTATTATGTAGAAAATTTTTTCACTATTCCAGTTCTAAAATCAGTCACCAGAAAAAATCCATCAGCTGATCCTGGAAAACAAGCTACTAGGACATTATATCTCAACTTACCGTCTAGCAACTTCCCGTGGTATACCGCCATACCAGCAACGCGTCCAATGAACTTGAAGTAACGCAGATGCTCTTCATTGCACATGCCAGAGTAGGGGTTAATTTGCAAAGTGTAGTTATCTCTGCAAACAAAAAAACACATAATGATTATTTCACTATGACAGACATATAACTGGAATTTTTCAACGGAAGCTTCCCTTTTAATATACACAAATACAATTCTCTCATTCTCTCTCTCTCACTCTAACAAAAGTCCTTACGTGGCAGAGTATTCAAAGAGTCCATAGTATGGGTTGAACATTTCTTTAGACAAGAGGAAGAAGAATTCTCTTGCAACACCACCATAATCCAAACCAACCTGTAGTAAATCGAAACCAAACGGATTTTAAGAAGTCATCCTGAAAAACAGCTTTATATAAAAGGAATGGATTCTATTCTATTCTATTAAAATAACACATCAGATCCCTATATGCAAAAAGGAAAAAAAGGTATTTATGACATCCATGAAGTAAACATTAGTCATGTCTTTTGCTTGTACTTTAAACATAATTCTCCCTTGCTATACATATCAAGATTACACATGGACCCAACCATTCATACAGTGGTATCCTAGAGCAGCTCATAGAATCAAGAATTAAACGGGCATGAGAGACATTCCCGGCCAGCTGTGTGGCACAATGTGGACAAATAGGTTTTCACCTCAAATAGCTCATATCTTTGTTAAAAAAAAATCTAATTAAGCAATTAGTGGGTAAAGAACTACATAAAAAATAATAATATAAAGCAAAGACAATGAAACTCACCTCTCCCTCAAATTCGATCCAAAGCTTGGTTCTCAGGAGATCCACACGGGTCACCTGGCTGATTATTGCGAAGGCATCCTCAAGGATGTTGTTCCTCTTCACCTTGATGTCAAACTTATTAGGAACATTAGCCTGAAAAAAGAGAGGGTTTAGATATTTCCCCTTCATCACATGCCAAAACCTTAGACTTGCATGAAGACCATAATAATAATATCAGAACGGGGAGAAAATGCCTGTTGATTTATGTTATTGCTGGGCTTACAAGGACAACCACTTTCAGAAATAATTTAATTTCATGAGGCATACATTACGAGGTTATGAATATGCAGTCATAGATGGATTTACATAGAAAGAATATAATTTATAATCTGAATAGCAAGCACTTTATTTTGCCCATCAATGGAAAAAATGAAAAAAATACAAAAAATATGATGACTCACTGGTTTTGGAAGGTTATTCTTGAAGAACTCGTACTTTTGCTTGTAGTCTCGGGAATATGGAATGGCTTTACCGGCGATCGCTGGGTTGAGTAGTCGAGGATCTTCCCAAGTAGTTGTGCGGTTCTCTGTAAGGGTTTGCGGTCTATCTTGAGAACTTTTAATGCAGAGTCATAATAAACAAACTGAATAACAACAATTAAATACTGTTAACTTCTAATAACCTACATTACATAACCATAAATATCCCTCCATTTCAACATGTTCATCTGAAGTTAGCGGAAAATATCCCACTCACTATGATCAATGAAGAAGATGCGACCGTCAGTGTGGACTCTCTGCTCCCAGCCCTCAGGCAAAGGCCCCAGTTCATCTTCGTGTCTCCAGTTGTTGGCGTGTCGTTGGTTGGGCGGAGAGCTGGGCATGCCCGATCGTGGGTCAATCCAAGTTGTCTGCTTATTGACATGGTCTGGAACATGGAGAGTAAGAAGACTGGGTTGAGGAGGGGGAGAGAGGTTGACAGACTGGGGAGGAGGTGGAGGAAGGAGGGAGAAGGGGAGGGGAAGGGGGAGAGATTGAGGGAGATATTGAGGGAGAGAGGGAGTGAGAGAGAGAGAATGAGAAAGAGAGAAAGAGAGAGAATGAGAAAGAGAGAAAGAGAGAGAATGAGAAAGAGAGAAAGAGAGAGAATGAGAAAGAGAGAAAGAAAGAGAATGAGAAAGAGAGAAAGAGAGAGAGAAAGGGAAAGGGAAAGGGAATGAGAGAGAGAGAGAGAGAGAGAGAGAGAGAGAGAGAGAGAGAGAGAGAGAGAGAGAGAGAGAGAGAGAGAGAAAGAGAGAAAGGGAAAAGGAAAAGGAAAGAGAGAGAGAGAGAGAGAGAGAGAGAGAGAGAGAGAGAGAGAGAGAGAGAGAGAGAGAGAGAAAGAGAGAGAGAAAGGGAAAGAGAGAAAGAGAAAGAGAAAAAGAAAGAGAGAGAGAGAGAGACATATCAACATGAAAAGAGGATAAAAAATCACCAGGACTCACCAATAAAGAAAACACGACCATTTGGTGCCACCTGGCTGGTCCATCCCCGGGGAAGTGTTTCATCAGTGCCTGTCGTAGTTGGAGTTTGAGGCTGTCAAAATAAAACAAAAATGATGATGAGAAAAAAAAAACTCATTTATCATTTATCATTTGACTCTAAAATTATCTTTTTTGCAATGCGCCATACATCGTAAAATGACTGTACATCATGATTCAGAAAAACTATCTAGTATCAATAGACAAATCTTTCACATAGGTGGTTATTTATTTTGCAATTTACTTTGTAATTACATATAAGTGCCCAAGCTAGCTATAGGAGATTATTATTGTGAGGAATTACCAAATTTCAAGTAACTCGTTGGAAAAGAAAAAAGAAAAACAAACAAATAAATTACCCCTTTGCCACAACATTTAAAGTTCAGTCATTTCTATAGCACTACAAAGCAAAATAATTTCCTTCTAAAAGAAAAGCCTTCTTTCTCGATAAATGCATATTACTACAATGAGAAGGGATTTGGCTCTTCACTGACAAGAATCTTCAACCTACATTATCACGCAATACAAAGACTTCCTTTTTTCACAGTTCAAGGAATATGACTGGGTAAGCAGCTAGCAATGGTAGTCCTTAATCTGATAATAAAACCAGACAAAATATACAAAAGCATGAAAAAATGAAAGCATTATGATACACACACACAAAAGAAAAGAAAAGAAAGGAACAGGAAAAAGCACTACTTTGTCATATACTAATTGATGTAGAAAATCCTTAAAAAAAAAAGCGACTGACTTTACAAGAGAGAATACTTCTCCAGTACCATATACAAATGAATAATACACTAGCTAGATTTCCACCATTCCTTTGCATTCAATTTTATACCAACTCAGTATAGGTTGTTACTATCAAAACTATGAGTTTAACCCAATGGCGCCGGGTGTAAAAAAAAAAATCTAGCAAACAAAGGCGGCGCGCCGACTTTGACCACACTTTGGCGCGCCACCGCACGCCAGCGTTTGTGCGGTTTGTTTTCACGCTGATCGGCGTCACCCGGCGTTAAGGGGTTAAAAACAGAGAAAAGTTTCAAGCAGTGAGAGTCACACAACCTGAATAAATGATGCCTCTCGCAATTGTGGCCTGTGTCGCGTCAAGATAGCAAGATCACCCCTGCATGTGCGACACCCTGTCACTTGTCTTAATGCATTATTTATCCATTTTTTCCCAATCCGTTTCACAACCGGAGATGCAGCTGGGCTAGGGTCTGGTGTGGCATCTGGACTCAAGAAGAATTCCATTTCCTCTTCCCCAGGATGGTGTCGATTCTGGTTGGCAGGGGGCACTGTTAACTGCTGTCGGTCATTTGGACTTCTGTTCCTGTAGTGCATGGGGCTGCTGCTATTGCTCAGGGGAATGGAGAGCACAAACCAGCCATCTTCATCTTCCCTGACCTGACTCATTTCGTTCCCGTTTGCACTGTCATGGGAAGTGGTGCTGGACTGACCCTCTCCTTGTGTGTTATTGCCATTGGTCCTGTCTGATGAGGCATTGTTTCTTCTGTGACGGGCATTGCGGTTTCTCCTTCTTGCCAGTCTCCTGCGACTTCTGGCCTCTTCCTCGCGGTTGGCAAAGATGCTTCGAACTTCGGGGTCTGGGAATACTGCCTCTGTATATATAGGCTTCCCCTCCCCAAAATTCACCACCACAATTTCCATATCCTGCATTTTAAACTGTATTTCCCTCTTCCTAGTTAGAGGGGGAAAAAAAACCCTACAGATCAGACACACTCCAATGCCTCTCCAGAAACAACTAATCAGAATGCAGTAATAAAATCCCCTCTGATGTGTATCTTTAAGACACTGCAGAAGGAATTGAAGAATCAGAGACAGTCTGAGCTCCTGCCTGCCTAAGCGAACACTGGGGGGAAAGTGCCATTGATGCGCACACCAAAACATTACCAGGAAGCCTTTCAAGTTCCAGTCTCAATCTGTATTTTGATACTAAGATACTAAAGCTTTGGCTGCCATCAATGTGAAGGCAATAAGATGTCACTGCATAAAATATTTAACCAAAACAATTTTAAACTAATGCTGATGTATCTAAATATCATTTTCATGACTCAGTGAGCTTGGTCTTCCTTTTATGGATGGAAGACCAGCCCATGGGGAAAATGTTTCATCCCATATAATTTCTTTTAATAAAGTCCTTATTTATCTAAACTTCCCTTAAGAAATACTACCATATGAAGTGGATGTAGCCAGTACTTGTAGCTTGTACTAAAGAAAGAAAAATTGAAAGAAAAAGAAAAAAAACAAGGAATGTAAAAAAAACAAGGAAAGAGGGGAGAATTGCATTGAAAAATGCAAATATCTAAATAAAAGCATACTTTCTGAAAATATGCACACATCAGTATCTATTCTTTTAGCTCTTTGTGTCTGTCTCCCTATTTGTCTATGTGTGTATAATACTTGTCAGACAAAATAAAAATGGGAAAAAATACAAAATTAAAATCAAAAATAAAATTGAGAATAACAAAAACCTAACAGAAATCATAAATCGGATAAAGAAATTGCAGTGACAAACTTTTTTACAATCTCTTACATTTAAAACCAGATCCGTAATGGTTCTCTTCTTTTTCATTATCATCAACGTCATCCTTACCATCTTTATATTTATGTTTTCATTTCATTACCACTGTTATCATCATCATTACCTTCAATCTTTTCTGACAATGTCCACATGCTTTAAAGCCTTTCTTTGTGTAAAATGTCCAAGGCAAAGAGCAGAGTTTGCGTCACAAGTTTCTAGGAAGCCCATGAGGATGGCTGGGATTATCTCCTCAGCACGTGGATACACGCGAGCCCTCGTGCAAGCTCAGGGTCTGCTTATCACTGTTATTACATTCCTTCTGCCTTTCTCCATGATTGCCAGACATCTGGTCTTGTGGCAGCCGTTTGTACAGATGCATTAGCTTCTATCTCTCATTCATAAATGTAACCAGCATGCATGAATGTATTTCCTTCAGCATATATTTATGAAAATGATGAGAGATAATGAAAACAATAAGAAAATGCTTTGGAGTACCAAAAGAGAAGAGAAAAATCAGACCAATACTCCTACATGAATTTTAAATGAACACAAAAACTACAGGAAACAAAAATGAATTGAATAAAGTTGAGATAGGGGAAGGGTATAGGAAGAAGGTGGCCAGATCAATATTTAAACAGTACTATGGCTGCAGCAACAGTACAGAAAGCGTCAAGGCCACTAATCTTATGCCCAAGGTTTCTAATCTTATGTCCAAGGATAAGAGTCATATACAGAACTGTGTGATATGAAGAGGCAAGCAGTATACATAGACATGTATATTAAGTTTTTGTTTACATATGTATTGTTCAAGCCATGTTCACCAAGATACAAATTCTACTAATCATATACAATTTGTCCATAAAACATGATCTCAGATTAACAAAAAGAGAAAAGGGAACTCTTTTCTCCTTGTATCATTGTGAATGACGAGACTACTAACCCTTCTACTACTATGTAGCCATTCTTCAGCACACTTGATAGGCTTCAAAGATACCGCTGCATTTTCTTCACCTATAGTTAAATAGCTCACAAGTATTATATATTTGAGCAAAAGAGAGAGAGGGTAAGGAAGAAGAAGAGGTAATATGGGAGGGAAAGGAAGGGAAGTGAAATAGAAAGAAAAAAAGAATGAAAAGAATGGGAGAGAGAAGGAAGAGAAGTGAAAGAGAAAGAAAAAAAAATGAAAAGAATGGGAGAGAGAGAGAGAGAGAGAGAGAGAGAGAGAGAGAGAGAGAGAGAGAGAGAGAGAGAGAGAGAGAGAGAGAGAGAGAGAGAGAGAGAGAGAAGAGAGAGAGAAGAGAGAGAGAGAGAGAGAGAGAGAGAGAGAGAGAGAGAGAGAGAGAGAGAGAGAGAGAGAGAGAGAGAGAGAGAGAGAGAGAGAGAGAGAGAGAGAGAGAGAGAGGAGGAGGAGGAGGAGAAGGAGAAGGAGAGAGGAAAAGGAGAGAGGAGAAGGAGAAGGAGAGGGAGAGGGAGAGAGAGAGGAGACGGAGAGGGAGAGAGAGAGGAGACAGAGAGGTAGATAGAGGAGACAGAAGAGAGAGGAAAGGAGAGGTAGACAAGAGAGAGGAGAAGGAGACAAGAAGAGGAGAAAAGAGAGAAGAGAGAAGAGAGGTGACAGAGGAGAGAGGGGAGAGATAGGTGACAGAGGAGAGAGGAGAGAGAGAGAGAGAGAGAGAGAGAGAGAGAGAGAGAGAGAGAGAGAGAGAGAGAGAGAGAGAGAGAGAGAGAGAGAGAGAGAGAGAGAGAGAGAGAGAGAGAGAGAAGAGAGAGAAGAGAGAGAGAAGAGAGAGAAAGAGAGAGAGAAGGGAGAGAGAGAGAGAGAGAGAGAGAGAGAGAGAGAGAGAGAGAGAGAGAGAGAGAGAGAGAGAGAGAGAGAGAGAGAGAGAGAGAGAAGAGAGAGAAGAGAGAGAAGAGAGAGAAGAGAGAGAAAGAGAGAGAAAGAGAGAGAGAAAGAGAGAGAGAAAGAGAGAGAGAAAGAGAGAGAGAAAGAGAGAGAGAAGGGAGAGAGAAGGGAGAGAGAAGGGAGAGAGAAGGGAGAAGAGAGAAGAGAGAAGAGAGAAGAGAGAGAGAGAGAGATAATAAACAAATCTCACAGAAAAGACATGTTCTTCCTACATGTGATATTCCTACCTAGACAATGCAAGTTCTGGGGCTTCTTTGTGACACTTAGGCCTAACTTTCCCAGGCAAGGGGCAGTGAGTCCTTCCTTAATTAGGACATGGATAAATTAAGTGAGTGAGTGAGTGCATGAGGGAGTAAGGAGTGAATGAATGAGGGAGGGATGGAGGGAGTGAATAAATGAATGAGGGATAGAGGGAGTGAATAAGAGAGATAAGAGAGGGAGGAAGGATGGAGGCAGTGAACAAGTACAGGAGGGAGGAAGTAAAGGAGAGAGGTAGTAACTGAATGAGTCAGTAAAAGAATGAATGAATGAGTGTGTAAATGAATGAGTTTTTGTGTCTGAGTGTGCATGTATGTTTGAGTGTGCTGGAGAAAGATACAAAAATCAA